TTCACAATTCAGTCCACGGGAAAATGTTTATTTATTAGATATTTTACTTATAAATTGTTGTTGACCTTGAGTACCCACATGCACTTTTCATATATTTTATAAATATCATATATATAAGAAATATGAAAAAATTCATGTGGCTACTCAAATGAAAGGTCTCGATGAGTATAAAATCATAATGGACTTATATTAACGAAAATGTTAATAATTAACGAATGATAATGTATTTCGTTAACTAATGATGTTTTTGACGATATAAGCTCATTCCGATGTTACACTTATCAAGAGCTTTCATTTGAGTACCCACATGCATTTTTGATATATTTTTCATATGTACATATATATATAATATATATAAATATATAAAATATATGAAAAATTGATGTGGGTACCCAAATGAAAGGTCTCGATGAGTGTAATGTCGAGATGAACTTATATCTTTAAAAATATCATTAGTTGACAAGATACAATGTCATTTCTTAATTATTGAAGTTTTTAAAGATATAAGCTCATCCCGATGTTATACTCATCGAGACCTTCCATTTGAGTACCTACAAGCATTTTTTATATATTTTATATATTTCATAAATATCATATAAATAAGATATATAAAAAAATTCATAAGGGTACTCAAATGAAAGGCCTCGATGAGTATAAAATCAGAATGAGCTTATATTTATGAAAATGTTAATTATTGAGGAATGCCCATTGCATATTGTTAACTAATGATGTTTTTAACTATACAAGCTCATTTCTAAAACTTCTAAATTTAAGACGTGTGTACAGGACAACGTCTGTCGGGTCCGTTAGTAATTATATATAAGTTTATGTAATTATATAAAGTTACATATAATCATATAAAATCGCTCGATAATCATTATATAAAATTATATATAACTATACAAAATTACATATAATTATATAAAATTATGTATAATTTTATATAAATTACACATAATATTATATAATTATATAAAATTTTTTTTTCCCGGGTACTTCCGAAGATATTAAAAAAAAAAAGTTTGGAAAATCCAAATGAGCATGCCTTAAGCCCTCATGTCATACATAAATTATTTAGAACATAACAAAAATTATTCGTTTTTAATTTGAATTTTCCCGCGAGTAGTATTATCCCCTCTGTAGGTCGAGCTAAAGAAAAATTTTAACAGATGATGAAACAGTTAGTAATTATACCATGTATCACACACACACACACACACACACACACACACACACACACACACACACACACACACACACACACACACACACACACACACACACACACACACACACACACACACACGACGACGCGTCGATTTACTGCGCATGCAGTTGCGCTGTACTATTGTATACTTGAGTACTTATCTATTAGCACGTTGTCGA